AGTCAATTTTTTCAGCTGAGATAAATGTTGCAGATGGAAAGAGAATAGTAGGAGTAGACTGAGAAGTAAGTTTAATTGGGGATGGAGGTAAGAGTTCACCTTTATTGAATATTTTAGTACTAAGATTGGTAATTAGAGCTGAGTTTATAGCAGGAGTTAGAGTAGATGGTCTAGATGAATCATTATATCGAAATCTTTGAGAGGTAAAGGTTGTATGGTATTTTCCACATAAATAAGTTGCTACTTGTGGTTGTTTAGATATATGCATATAGTATCGGTTTTGTTTTGCAAGCTCATATTGTTGAGAGTCAAAGCAAGCAATAAGTACTCATGCTTTACTAGCATCTGCTTCAATAAAACTAATACCAAAGCGATCAGAGTAGTAAGAAAGGAAGTGGTCAATATTGTATGAATCTGGAGTAGAATTGACTAGAGTAGACATATTAGTAAAATATAATAATAATGATAAATTTGAAAAAAGTAAAAAGTAAGAAAAAATAGAGATTTGATAAAAAAGAGGTATGACAAATAAGAGGTATGATGAATAAAGGGTGTGATAAATAAATAGTATGATGAATAAGGATGTGATGAATAAATGTGAAAAATAAGAGGTAATAAATAAGTGAGTAATGGTAATGTGTTACAAAAAGTTAATAAACATATAACAAGGTTTTGTACTAAAAATAAAAAGAAACTAAAATTAGAAATTGGTTATTTTTATAAAATTTAATAAATTTAGTGTAATATTGATTTGTAAGCCTGTTGTAACCTATTTGAAATGTGTTGGGGTTAACTAGGTCAAGGGGAATTCCCCAAAAATTTGCAAAAAAAAGAGCAAAATTTTTTTGCAAAGTATTTTTAAAGTTTTTTGAATAAAAGATTAAATACTAATCCGTTTTTGATGTATTATATATCAAAATGAAGCTGACAATATGCTGAATCTTTTTGTTTTAAGTAAGAAGAGCTGAACACTTAATAAATTTTGAGATATTGTCTGTAGAGCGTTCCTATGCTTCAGTTAAAATATTTTGTTAAAGAGCTAGTAACAAAATATAAAACTATACCATTTAGATGTAAAATTATGTGTAGAACAACTTTACTTAAGCGGCCAGAAGTAGTTTACTTAGTAGAATTTTGAGATATTGCAAGTTTTGTTTAAGAAAATTTGGTACAAATGATCATCAGAAAAAGTTAATAATTTGCATCTATTTATTTAAATTATACAACCTATAAATAAAAGAGTATCTGCAGCTCACAATACATTGGGCATACGCATCCCAAGAGGATCTAAACTGTGCAGAGAAATAGATCTGCAGGTGAACTAGCTAGCATAAGCAGTTGGTCATAGTAGTGACGTTAGTTTGGGATGGGGGAAGGATTAATGATCAGAGTGTTTAAATAGGTAACTCACAGGTGGGTTGCAGGTATGGCAGTATAGTGTAGAACCAACAGATAGTCGATCATCTGTATAGCAAACCACTTAAATTAGACAATGACTAAAGTTGTACGTATGGCTTATTATACACTCATCATGTAACTGTAAAACCTTAGGAAACTGTTCATGTGATAGTTCTGCAATAACAAACTAATAAAAATCTAATCGGCCAAGGAAGTGGCCTTAATAATAAAAAAAAAAAAAATAAATAGAAGAGTATTATATTCTATATTATTGTTAAACTACAATTAGCCATATATACAACTTGAGTCATTATCTATTTAAATATTCTGCTTACAGGTTACCTACTAATTGCCATACCTATAATCTGCTTGTAGATCCTCTATTTAAGTTCTCTAACTTTTTAATATTAAGAATAATATTTTATTTAAAATATATAATAATTATTACAATATATTAATCAGAAAGAAAACTAGCAAGAATTAGATAAGAGTATTGAAGCAATAGATTTGATGATTAAAGATCCTTTAGTTTATTCATATATGTTAAATATTATAAAGATGTATATCTGAAATAACCACAGTTAAATAAGTTAAATATAAAATATGAGTGAAAAACCTGAAAGTATTATATTTAATATAAATTAGTATTACCAAGAAAAAACCTGTTATCAGATTTTTAATTATATTTTGTATTGATATAATCTTTAACAAATTATACTGATTGTAACTGATATAAATATAAATGAAAGCCTGATAACAGGTTTTCTCTTAATGACACTCAAATAATACTATAATATTTGATAAACATTAATTATCATTTGCATCTCTTATTGTAAAATCCTATACTTAAAGTTTTCTCTATACAGATTATTATCATTTAGCAAAGATATATACATTTTTGTATTATTACATAATCAATTATTACTAAAATCAAAAACTTATCAAATTGGCAAAAAATTATTCGACCAATTTTTTACCAGATATCCTAAAAATAATGAAAACAGCTATAAAACATATAGAAAAAATTTTTTTTGAAAGTTTTTAATTTTGATCTGGCTGGATTATGAAAACCAATTCATAAATTTTATATGGCCTAATATTAAAATTAAAGATTGCATTTTATATTTTTTAATATAGATCATATATTATATCATATTCATCATTACATTTTATATTATATTGTATTTCAATTATTGCAATGCTTGAACAAAACACAATCATAGGCTAATAGAGTATTTCACGGCATATTTAATCAAACCTATGTAAGGTAACTATACAATTTGTTATATTGCAGATTTTTTATGTTATACAAATAAAAATCAATTTATCATAATTTCAAGTTTTCAATTTTATTATCGCAACATATATATATTTAAAACATTTACAATTATTTTCGATTAAATAAATTATCAAATAATGATTTTGCTTTTTGTTCACTATCATTATCATTGAGATTTTCTTTTTCTACATATGCAGATTTTATTTGTTAGTGCTTTTTGATTCTAAGATTCATTAAATCTGAAGAATTACATCTGATTTCTTTAAGCGCTATACTTTATAACTGCAGCTTTGATTGCTGAAGATTACTTGTCATATTTTGATGAGTTTTAAGATCCCATTTATTAAAAATGCCTTCTAGCTGTTGTTGATGAATTGTAATACACTAGATTCAATTTTTAATAAAGTCTAATAGTTTGGGTAGTTGACTTAGAGATTTTCTTTTTTGAATAAATTCATTAAATTCATCATTAAATATCAGATCTTTAAGTACATTTGATAAGCTAAAGTCATTAAATTCACTATACGCAATATCTAACTCAATGAATTTTATATAGTATAATACTCGTAATGAAAATACAGATAGTCTTAGCATTTCTAAAACTACATAAGCATAGCTTTGTGCAAATTTCTGTTCATATTTTCTACCCAAACGATATATACTTAATAGCAGATGTAACTAACAATCTAACCACTTTTGATGAAGATCTAATACCTTCTGAGTACTATTTTTAATATCTGAAATAAGTTCATTAAATTGATCATCATCTAAAACATTAGAACTTTCTAATAATTCTTCTTTAAAAAAAGAATATAGATCTTCAACAATGCTTCGAAGTTTTATTGTTAAACATACTACAAAATCAGGTATTTGGTATGCTCTTCTGCTAGGAGGTAGATTTATTAATTCAGAAACTTAAGTTGGTAATTGTAATTCACAATTATATCCTATAAAAAATTTGATCATTGGATAATAAAAATCTTATCCAAAGTGAATTAAAAGTTTAATTTGAATATTGAGATTTAGATCATAAAGCCATTCTTTAAAAAGTTCCTATTAGAATCAACAGGCACTCTGCAGCGTACTGGTCTGAGTAACTGAAGAAAAGATAGAACTTTGAAAGAAAAAGAGTCTACAACTAATATAGCGACAAAAACAGGGGCTTTTACCCTTGTGCAAAGAAAATGAAGGAGGATAACCTATACAAAAGCAATGGAAATGAGAAAATGAGTTAAAGTGCATGACACAAGAGCCAAAACTAAAAACAAGGAAAACGAAAGCTCAAATAATATAATAAATCAAGATAGTTTCGAAATACCAGTAAACAACCCAAAAGGAATACTAACTGACGTACCAAAGTCTACCTCAAACTAGGCTAAAGAAACAGAAAAAATTTATAGGACAGAAAAGTTGCCTGTTCAAAAAAACTCAGTACAGAAAGTAAGTTCTGCACCAAATAGCGAAATAGAAAATTGCATAGTTGGTACAAAGGAAGGTTCTGTAATAAATTCAGATATAGTAATTGATGAGGATGAATCAGGTGACTCCGATGTATCAGCAGAAACAGACTTAGAAATAATGCGAATTGAGAACGAAACTAATAGTATGCCTTTGGAAGAACAGGCACTTAAGAAATTGAGGTCTAGTCTTTTCACTAGAATACAAAAAGGAAGGGCTACATATACTGCAGCTGCACCTAGAAAAGGAATTAAAACTAAGAATGAAAATGCACTTATTATAGATATTAGGAATCTGGTTAATATTCCTCTAAATGAAATTATAGTTGCATTATATAACTAGCTAGAAAATGACTTTGTCATCGTGAAACCTTATTTTTTAGGGAACAAAGATCAGACTTGGAATTAATTTTTAAGAATGGAGAAATTCTGCAAAAATGGGCTATAGAAGGTATTACGATATTTAGACAAACTCTATTCAGATATATGACTGCTAATCTATGAAGAATATACCTTTCAGTAAAGTTGCGTAATATCCTCATAGGAGAAAAAGATACTGTTACCAGTCACATTAAAGAAGCAATAGAGGATTTCAGCGATATTATATTAATAAAATCTTTGTTATATGAAGGAACTCTAATTCTGTCTAATCCGTGGATAGTAGTATATGATACTACTAACGATTCTGCTATTACTGAGAAATTGCATCGCCATATACATATCTGGGACCAGAAAGTAATTATTAAGTAGAAAGCAGCCCCAAAGGTATACTTTTATTGCGACCTAGAAGGGCACATCAAAAGAGAATGCCTGCAATTTAAAGAGTCTGTAGAATTAAAGAAATATTATAAGAAGTATAAATCTGGTCAGAAGGAACCTGATGATAATAGTTATATAGAAGCTACAGTATCATATTCGCAAAATAATTCAAATATGGAAATAAACAGGACAGAAGAAAGTCAAAAGCAAGTACATGAAAAGATGACAGAAGAAAGGGCCAAGTACAAGAGGCTGAGAATGAGAAAAAACAAGTAGAACTCACAATAACAAATATGCTAGAACCCACACTGACAGAAGAAATAAATTCAGAAGAGGAAGCCCAAGATAAAGGACAAAACAATAATAACAATTTAAATGACAAAGCAAAAGTTTTATCATCGCCAAGCAGTCAGATTAGAGTTCAAAAAAATATAGAAAACATCGCTAATAGCAAGAGTGAAGATTATATGAGATTAAATATGCTGAAAGAAGAAGGATTCATGATGGTAACATATAAAAAGAGAGATTTGAAAGCATCATCAGTGAAGAGCATGCACAATAATAGACCCAACCTATACAAAAAAGGATGAAATACTGGAGGTCATTATACATCTACATACAATAATGTCAAATAAGCAAAAACAAATTTACAGTAGCCACATTAAATATTAAAGGTCTTAATAATTATCACAAATATACAAAAACACTTACCTTACTAAAGTCATATAATATAGACATAATTATATTATAAGAAACAAATTTAAGCAGCAATGAAATGTGAAGTTTTATCAAAAAACAATGGTCATATAAGTCTTTCTGGTCAGCTAAAATAGTAGTTTTGGCAGGAAAAAAGAACATCAAATTAAGGAGTATGAAGGAAAGTTACGAAGGAAGTATGATCACTGGATTAGTAGTAATTAAACAATACGTATGTAAAATAACTAACATATATACCCCACTCCATATGCAAGAATAAACTGAATTTTTCAATACATGGGCTCTGGAAGCGGACAAGAATATGTAAATATTATCATGAGTAACTTTAATTAAACACAGATCTGCAAACAAATAGGAGTAGTCAGACCCCAATACACTTTGACTCTTCCTGTGAAATATTTCTACAACTTATGGAAAACTATGTGGATATAGCTAGCAATAATGGCTAGCCATTTATAACATATAGTCAAAAAACAAGAGGCAGCCAAATGATAGTTACAAGGCTTGATTATATATACATTGACAGTGACCATATACAGTTTTGTCAAGGTACTAAAACCTTATTTGGAAACTCAAACTATTTATTGGTCAAATGCATGTTTAATCTTCAACTAGACATGAGGCAAGTGGCTTACTAGAAAATCAATACCAAATGCTTAATGGACGATAACATAAGGAAAGATATTGAAGAGGAGCTATAGAAGCAAATATCAGTAGACACATAGAACATACGAAAAAACAAAATTCAGGCAATAATTCATCAATGCAAACTATTTCCAGCTCCTGAAAGGAAAATTTGCAAACTGCAAAAAAAGATAATGGAGATATAATCAGAAGTGTCACAGCATCCGAAAAAAGAAGAGCTAAACATACTGGTAGAGAAACTCCAAGTAGATCTACAACAAGAACTCATGAAAATAGCAGAAAGATGGCAAATTCGATCTAACCTCAGATGGATCGAAGAAGGCGAACGATCGATCAAATATTTCTATACCAGATATAAAACTAAATATACAGTTAATTTTATAACAAAAGTACATATTCTAGGAGATATAACAAATTATACGCTAGCAAATGTTCGATACTATACTAAAGAAACTTATGAAAAGCTATATGAAACCGAAGAAGTGAATGAGGAAGCAATCACAGAACTCACCACAGACTTAATTACAGTATCTGAAGAACAGAATTGTGATTTAATCAAAGAGATAATGATAGAGGATATTAAAAACATCATAAAAGTTCTACCTAATAACAAGTTACCAGGTATGGATAGATTGTTATATGAGTTCTATAAAAAAATGAATGAGATGATAGCACTGGTGCTAAAAGCCATTTTTAATGAAGTGTTAGTCAATAGGAAGCTCCTCCCATCTTGGTACAAAAGTATTATTACCTTGATTCCGAAGAAATTAGAAATACTTAAAGAAATAAAGAACTAGTGACCTATATCTTTAACTAACTGTGACTTTAAAATCTTCATGAAAATACTAGCGAACAGAGTCAACAAAATATGTCAGACAATTATTGGCATCTACCAACAAGGTTTTATTTCGAACTAGTCAATTTTTGATGCAGTATTAGATATTATGACTACTCTAAGAAACCAGACTTATCAAACTAGGCAGCATTGGATGCTGTTTATTGACCAGAAAAAGGCTTTCAATAGAGTGAATCAAACGTATCTAATAAAGACTTTAAAGAAAATATGTTTTGCATCAGCATTCATAAATTTAATTCAAATATTATTCTCTAAGCAAATAGCTTATATTTCAGATGCAAATAGACTCTCAGAACCTTTCAGACTAGGAAGGGGGATAAGATAGAGAGACTTTCTTTCTCTGCTCCTCTACGTAATCGCATTTGAACCCTTTTTGCAAATATTAAAAAACAATCTTCAGGGATTGCAAATTACTAATGAAAGATTTAAAGTTGCAGCATATGCAGATAATTTAACAGTTGGAATAGGCTCACCTCTAGACTGGAATAATTTCCAACAAATAGTAAAGGCCTATGAAACAGCTACAAATGCTAAAATAAATGCTACAAAATCTGTTCTAATGCTACTGACAACAAATGCTAAACATGTAGAACTTGAAGAAGGAGAGAATTTTTAGCTCTTGAAAGATGATAAATCCATAACAGTCTTAGGTTATAAAATAATGCCACAAGGTGCAGCAAACAGTCATTTATAGCAAAACACTATCATTAAATTACAAAAACAAATTAAGAAATTGTCAGAGTGTGATCTCTCACTCAAAGGAAAAATTATACTAGCAAAGTCCCTAGTTATTTCTAAAGTATGGTATACTGCATATATAGCACCACTGATCTGAAAACAACTGGCCACTATTAATAATATGATAGGAAAATAGATCAGATCTAAATCTAAGTTACTTCCAAAATTTGCCTTTTTACAACTTCCATGTAAACAGGGGGGATTAAATATGCCAACACTACCTGATATAATAGATGCTTACTTAATATCTATATGGATAAAGCTTTTAACTGGAAATAATTTGTAGGCTAAGATAGAGAGGTTGATAACCCAAAAAGTTCTAAATATCAAAAGAAACATCATAGTCAAAGCAGCTCTAAATGGTAAACCTGTTAAAACAAAGGGTTGGCCAGAGCAATGGAAGCCTTATGTAATTGCCTAGAGGTAGGCTAAGGGGAGAATAGAAGATAGTGTCAGAAATTGGCCATAGAATAAAGAAAAACTTACTATAGCGAATATTTCAGGGAAAACTTCTTGGTAAGAAAGATAGTTAGATTTTTAAAAGAGGATATGCTAAGTGACATCAAGAATCAGAGCCAACTGATAGATGACTCAATGAAAGATACCTGGCAATAGATGAATACAAGGAAGGTTTTCAATATTAAAAAGGATATATATTGGCATCTCCAACACAAAGTGCTCCTTTTAGAACATAGAATAAGACATTTTAACTATAATAATACAGAAAATTGCCCAAATTGTCTGAATATAATTCAGACCCCTGAACATTTTGTGCTTGACTACCTTATAAGTAAAAAGATTTGGAAAATAGTTATGGAATTAGCTGATCCCACAACTAGTATAAAAATGCCTAATGATCTTAACGCGATGTTTGCAGACCATTATACCAGAAATAAACAAATAAGAAATTGGATAAACATAACTGCTATATATGAAATTTGATATCGATATATACAACTAAAGTGGGGAAGTTCAATTCCAGGCCCTATATTAGAGTCAGTAATCAAATATAGGGTAAAGAAAGCAATTGATATAATAAAACATGTTGATGAAAAAAGTAGATAGAATGACCAACAAATGTGATATATCTGAATCATCTAGTATGATTTATATGTAAATATTTAATAAAATACGCTACCGGCATCTCAAATTGAAATCTGGGTTAAAACCAAAAAAAAAAAAAAAGTTCCTATTTTTTGATATATGTTTTGGGTATATTATTTTGTGCTTTAAGATGAAATAAGAACTAATCTGTAAACTGTATATGAACATCTCTAGTTCTACATATTGTTTAGCACATATTAACTCATAAAGCTATCTTGATCAAATTGGTTGTTAATATTTTGTTAACTTGTATTGAAAAAGTTCTTCATAAAGTTTATAAATATAGTCTGATCAAATCCCTATTGGCTTATCTTTATCAGTTTTGTTATAACCATCATAAAGATTCTACGCCAAATATAATAAATTTGCTAGAGGTTTCTTTTGTGAAAATCCACTAATATTAGGTAGCTTTCTGAAAGCAACTTCTCAAATTTATTCATTATAATATATATAACATAGAGTCTACATAGAATTCAAAACATATTAGTGCTATTTAATTTATTAAATAAGGTAATAGCACTACTATTTTTACCACTCATATAGTTAGTATTATCTAAAATACAAACATGGTATTGTTGAAGATTTATTTAATAATTACTAAGAATATCATATATTGCTTGAGCTACTAATTTTCCTGTATAATTTAATAGATCTTTTATTTCTAATACACAGAAATCAGATTTGTTGCTCATTGAATTCCAGAATATAATACATAATACAAAGATTTTTTGCTGACCCTGTGTTGACTCATCTACCATTATCCCAAAAGAAAAAAATTCTGAAGTATTCTGATTAAAGATTTGATTAATATAGATTTCACTAATCTCATTATTCCATTGGCTAAGAGATTGAGGTGAAATTGATATTAACAAATTATCTCTAGTTATAAAACTTAAGATCATTTGAGTAGCTTGAACAGTAGTTCAAAGTGAAATTTGACTAATTTGTAAGATTTGTGTTGCTATATTAATAAATTGTGTTGTATATTCATTTTTATTTTTCATTAACATAGTTTATATATTTGATTTTAAGCTTCGTGAATCTAAAATTTATGGTTTACGAGTAGCTGCACGTACTTTTAACAAATTTTTATGTTGTTTATATTCATATTGAGCTATTGATCCTACTAATTGTTTAAGTTTATAACTTTTTTGAGCATTGAAATGTTCTAATTGATTTATTTTTCTTTGAAGTGCTTTATTCTCTTGAATTAATGTTTTTAAATCTTGACCTACTTTGTAAAGTGAGGAATCTACAAAGTTTAATGCTTTATTTTGTATAAACAGTGAAAATAAATTACCCTTATGTGGTCCTTTAGAATATCTCATTGTATTTAATAAATGAATTGCAGATTTTAGTTGGTTATCTGGCAATTGTTTAATAGTATCAATAAGTTTTTGACGACTTGTAGTTCGGATTACTTTTTTATTATTAGTTGATTGAACAATATCTTGATAAATCAGTTGAAACTCATTATTATTCATTTGTAAAAGTGCTTTATTGATAGTTTGAATTTGTTCTTCACGTTTAGCAACTTTTATTGCATTTACTGATGCCTGATTAGCTTTAAGTACTTTAAGTTTTAGTTTGGATAATTTTGGCATTTTGTCTATTATATATATATATATTGCTATTAATATATATTTTAAAATGATTCATTGCAATTTTTTAAATATAAATTTACCACCAAACTTTTAGAGCAGATTTGTCAAAGGTTTAAAAATGAAGTTATGTAAAAATATTTGCCAAGTTTATATAAACTTTGTATGTTTAATTTTTTAAAACACCTGCTAATTTTTAAATTTTTTTGAAAAAAAATTTTTTTTAATATAAAATATTTAATAATTATATATTTTTTTTTAAAAAAAAATACATAATTACTTTAGGACAATCTAGAACAACACTTTTTAGTTGAAGGAGCATAAAAAACGAAAGAAGGTGATTGTAAGAATCATTTAGAATCTTACGCTTTTTTATATTTAAAACATATGTAAATAATTTTCACTGATTATTTTAACTTCGTTGATAAAAAATTTGATCATATTAAAATTACTAATATACCTTACATAGGTTTGATTAAATATGCCGTGGAACACCCTAATAGGCTAACTACATTGAGGAAGATACATGAGAATACTGTTATTCATTTTATAGATAACGATAATTGACAAAGATCTATTTAAATTTTACTATAACATCGTGCACTATCACAATCAATTTTTAATTCATAAAGTATGCTACTTGAGAACATCCTTAATCAAATTTTACTACAACAAATATACCCCCACTATGTTTTAATACAAATAAGGAAAATATTTATTAATCTAAGGGCGTTCTCAAATGTATGAGATAAAATTTTAAAATTTTAATTAGTAGTAATTCGAATAAACTTTCATTTCGATAAAATCTGCACGTTAAGGAGCTGCTTGAGAGTACCCTTAACCCATCTCTATATATAACTCAAAGCACGGACGTAAGGACGTGTCAGTTTACAAGTTACCTTATTAAATTCAGATAACAAGTAGCAAACAAAATTATATAGGCATTTATACGAAGCCTTAATCCTTTATTTTATAAATATAACATAAATTCGTAAAAAAATTCTAGGGAACTAGTGCGTAATGTAACGAGCGTTACGTACCGCACAAACATAACGCATGTAAGTACCAGTACAAGTGCAAATACATATAAAAATGTTTAAAAAAACAATTTCCTTTTTGGATAAAATTGACTAAGTGGCGGCTCACGAGAGTTATAACCAACAAAACGTCAACTCAATTCAAACCGGAAATATTCCAAAAAAAAAAAAAATAAAATAAAAAAAAGATTTTGATAAAATGCAAAACAAAATCTTATAGTGTTAAAAAAAAGTATATTATAAGCCGGGGATAATGGTCTGTACAGGAGCAATTTCACAAACACTGTTGAATGTACCGCATGACCAGCCGTTTTGCGGGTGACGCTGGCCAAGACAAATGAAACTATATATCAATATGGTATAATTAGTTCAGAGTTTTTTACCTTTTGTTTTTTTTGTTGAATTATCAATATTAAGACAAATACCAGAATTCTTGACCGCAAAGACATGTCATATGCTTGCATTTGCGGTCATGTTCGATGATTATACCGCATTTCGGGCATGCGCGGCACGATGGTACTCCGGATACGTTACCTACTTCCTAAAACCACAATATTACAAGTGTTAATATTGAATTATGCAACTATGGAAAAATAAAGCCACAGATAAGATACCTTACCTTTGTGACCGCGTTTTTAAGAATGGCTAGACGTGGATCGATACCTCCACAGAGATTGTTATTGCAATGATAACCATCTAAACTATTAACATCGTGCAAGCAGTACCAACAGAATGCGTATTCCTTGGCGCCCGGTTTCATTGAGCATACCAAACAGATTACCGATGTCCGATTCTTATCGCTTCTCTCACAGCATGTGAAGCACTACCGATAACACTTGAAGTCAACTTGAGTTGAAGCAGAAAACTCGAAAAGTAAAATTTCATCTCACCTTGGGACATTCTTGAGCGCCGAGAGCGCGAAAAGAATAATTTTCACTAATCTTGGACTCAAAATGTTCGCGCTCGTCGTCAGTAAGTAGACCTAACTTGCGGATGTCAGTATACTGCCATTCCGCACGGCAACGAACATCGGTTGTTGCTTGATGTATAACAAATAATTAAAAAAAATCACCAATTGACAACAAACGT